GGCTGATGTTCCCAGGTTTTCTGATCGGGGACAGTCCACACGCACAGGTCCCAGAGATAGTACCATTTAGATTCGCAACGAGGAATCTAGGAGTCTCCTCAGTGCCTGATATTTGCAAGGCAGGCCAGCCCCTCCAAGGCCAAAGCAGTCGCCCGGGGCAGCCTGGAGGAGCCGCACATGGATTTGGTTCTTCCACCCCCCTCATTCCCCCACCCCGACGGGCAGCCAGGGCAGAGCGGAACACTGAGGTCCCTGGTGGGCAGGGTCGGTAGCACTGTCAGTGCAGGCATGACACATTTGTCCCCAGTGTGGGTGACAATGTGGGTGGCTTGGTGGGTGACACGGAGAGGACACCAAGGATGCCAGACGTGGCCCGAGGCCCTCAGGACATGTGAGGTGTCTAAAAGCCACACAAGCATTCCGGGGGCCTAGGTGGGGCCGAAGTAAAGGAATAAAGCGATAAATAAAAGTGCAGCAGCGCCTGTCAGGCCCCTATCTGGGTCTCCCTGTTGCAGCTTCTTGTAACCTGGAGCCCTGGGACCTCTGGGAGCCCCACCCCAGCTGGAATTCACAGGGCGGGCGGTGGCCATGACTCACACGTAACTTACCCAGAGCACGGGAGCAGAGCCACATCTGCCTTCCTGGGGAGACCCCCTCCCTACCCCCTCCCTTCCTCCCACCCTCTGCCCCCTCCCCAGCCACAATTCCATGACCCCAGACAACAGCAGCAGCATGGAGAGAGGGACCCACTGTCGGCAGGCTGGGCGCCCAGACTGACAGGGAGAGTGGGGACATGCAGGGCGGGACGTGGCAGGGGGGCGGGGGGCTGGGGAAGGACAGTTTACATCTTCCCACACCTGCCCCAGCGTCCTGGGTTAGCAGCTAGGGTTTTCTTGGTCCTTCCAGGATGGGATGGCCTCTACTGGCCTGGGAAGGAGGGGAGTGGGAAGACGGGGCAGGGCTGGTAGGAACCCAAGAAACCCAAGCAGCCATCCAGTCCCGAGGTTTCAAACTTCTCTGACAACAGAACTACTTTAAAAAACAAAAACAAACAAACAAAAACCCTGAAGGGCAGCCAGAGAGCTGTTCTGCGGAGAGCTGGGCCCAAAGCCTTGCTGACTCTTCTGGCCTCTCTCCTGTCATCATCAGCCCCAAGGTCTTGGGACACGGCTCAGTAACTACGAGTGTGGTCCGTTTGCCCATTTCACAGATGGGGAAACGGACCCCAAGGGGGAAGAGGTCTCTCGTCCATATATTGACAGCCTGAATGCCGCTTCCTATATTCCCAGCCTCTCCTACCACACAGAGGGCGGCGCCGGAGTCTGCACTTTGCTTGGTGACAATTAGCGTCCCCGCGTCCCCGCGTCCCCGGCACGCCCTGCTGACCGTGAGGCCGGTGTGGTCTGTGCGCCAGGCTCCCTGTCCTGCCCCGACTCCCGGGCTTTTCTAGAGAGAGAGAGGTCGTGGCTTTTGTCACCTTCTCAAATGGGCCTGGTATCCAAAAAGAGGCTAAGAACCTCTGTACGTGGCGGGGGGTGGGGGTGGGGGCGCACCGAAGGGGGAGGGGCGCTCAGCTGGTGATTCTCTTCCCTGCAGAGGCGTTACCCTGTGTTACTAGGTTTATGTCCCTCGCCCACCTGTGACGTGGGGTCACCATCCCCATTTTACATACGAGGAGGCTGAGACACAGTGACACAGGTAGCTTGCCCCGGATGCCTCCCGAGAACCTGAGGGCCCGGACAAGCAGGGTGGGGACAGGTCCACGGCAGGATTGGACCTGTCCGCACCCTGATCCGGCGCCTCCCTCACCGCGTCCACGCCAGACAGTGTCAATTATCTCCGCAGCCAGAGAACCTGGCGGCGGGCACGGCCACTGCCTCTGAGGCTCATTCCTGCCGAACAGAAACAGCTCAAGGCTGGCCCCTTGTGTCCTAGATGGCACTCGAGACCCATTTCTTCCAACAGGGAGGTGGAGGCAGAGGTCCCGGAACCATTGAGGGGGGCGGACCCCGCTAGGACCTGGACTCGCGAGGCTCCCCATGGGACAGAGAGCACGGCCCCTCCAGTTACCCCAGCAAAGCCCTTTCTCTCTTTGCTCTTAGAAATGTCAGCGGCCAAACCACAGGGCAGCATCCCCGCCCTCCAGCCTGCTTGCTGCCCAGCTCACCCCCAGGGGTAGACAAGGCAGATCCTCCCAAGACAGGCCTAGGCCCACGTGGAAGCGTAGCCCTACCATTCCTGAAATTTTTTTTTTTAACATCTTTATTACATGCAATTTATTTTTCTTTCTGTGTTACTGAGATATAATTGACTTGGCACTAAGTTTAAGGTGTATAGCATAATTACTTGACTTACAAATATTGCAAAATAATTACCACAATAAGTTTAGTTAACATTCATCACCTCATATAGTTTGAAAACATGTTTTCTTCCTTGTGATGAGAATTTTTAGAATCTACTCTCCTCACAACTCTCAAATATACCACACAGCTGTGCTAACTGTAGTCACCAGTCGTACATTCCATTCCTGAAATTCTGACGGTCAGTTAAAAACAAAGTCAGCTGCTCTGCTCTGAGCCTTAGCTTCTTTATCTGTAAATTGGGAATAACGAAGGGGGCGCACCGAAGGGGGAGGGGCGCTCAGCTGGTGATTCTCTTCCCTGCAGAGGCGTTACCCTGTGTTACTAGGTTTATGTCCCTCGCCCACCTGTGACGTGGGGTCACCATCCCCATTTTACATACGAGGAGGCTGAGACACAGTGACACAGGTAGCTTGCCCCGGATGCCTCCCGAGAACCTGAGGGCCCGGACAAGCAGGGTGGGGACAGGTCCACGGCAGGATTGGACCTGTCCGCACCCTGATCCGGCGCCTCCCTCACCGCGTCCACGCCAGACAGTGTCAATTATCTCCGCAGCCAGAGAACCTGGCGGCGGGCACGGCCACTGCCTCTGAGGCTCATTCCTGCCGAACAGAAACAGCTCAAGGCTGGCCCCTTGTGTCCTAGATGGCACTCGAGACCCATTTCTTCCAACAGGGAGGTGGAGGCAGAGGTCCCGGAACCATTGAGGGGGGCGGACCCCGCTAGGACCTGGACTCGCGAGGCTCCCCATGGGACAGAGAGCACGGCCCCTCCAGTTACCCCAGCAAAGCCCTTTCTCTCTTTGCTCTTAGAAATGTCAGCGGCCAAACCACAGGGCAGCATCCCCGCCCTCCAGCCTGCTTGCTGCCCAGCTCACCCCCAGGGGTAGACAAGGCAGATCCTCCCAAGACAGGCCTAGGCCCACGTGGAAGCGTAGCCCTACCATTCCTGAAATTTTTTTTTTTAACATCTTTATTACATGCAATTTATTTTTCTTTCTGTGTTACTGAGATATAATTGACTTGGCACTAAGTTTAAGGTGTATAGCATAATTACTTGACTTACAAATATTGCAAAATAATTACCACAATAAGTTTAGTTAACATTCATCACCTCATATAGTTTGAAAACATGTTTTCTTCCTTGTGATGAGAATTTTTAGAATCTACTCTCCTCACAACTCTCAAATATACCACACAGCTGTGCTAACTGTAGTCACCAGTCGTACATTCCATTCCTGAAATTCTGACGGTCAGTTAAAAACAAAGTCAGCTGCTCTGCTCTGAGCCTTAGCTTCTTTATCTGTAAATTGGGAATAACGAAACCCAGCCTACTTGCTTTCAGGGATTTCTAAGAATCACATGGGGGAAGGTATTTAGAAAAGTTCAGGATAACTCACTGAAGTGACAAGGGAGCAAACCCCAGCTGGGACTCACCTGTCACCACACATTCCTGTCCGCAGGTCGCTGAACCATGGCAACCCGGGCTGGGAGCCTTCCTTCTGTGGGCGGTGATGGGGCAGCTCCACATACGGCTTGGGGGCCCAGGGGACCTAGGGTGGGGCAGTCCTCAGATGGGAATGTCCTCGTTCCTTTCTGCTCTGTGCAAGGCCCCAAGCTAGGAAGGAACCACAGCTCCCGCCAAGGACAACAGAAACTGGAGAGGGGGTTTGAGAAGAGTCAGAAGCCATACCCAAGCTCTTCCACAGACAGAGGGCACAAAGTTTAGTACAACACCCTGGGGTAGAAAACCATCTTTCTTTACTTCTCTAAAGCAATTAACTCTGTTTCAAGCCCCCGCCAGCTTGGCTGGTGGGAAATTCAAGCTTAGCCGTGTCTGGGGAGCCTGCCCCTTTCCTGGGGTTGGACAAGGATCTTCGGGTCTTGTACAGTCCAGAACATTTGGAGCGAGGCCCCGGGGATTAGGACCCAGACTGGTCACTGCTCTTGGCCAAGCCCGTGGGGTCTCTTGCTGGTGGACAGGGGTCTCTGCAGATGCTCCCAGCCCTTGCCCCTCCCCAGGCTTGGGGAACCTCTGCCCCAGAGGTTTCTGCCATGGCCCCCGCCCACTCCGTGCCCCTTGCCTCTGTGCTCCCACCCCGCCTGTTACGAGGACCCCACTTGACACCCTTTCTTAGGGGGAGGGCTGGTGGGGTTTTCTTCTGGGTGCCTGGCAGCTTCTCCTTTTAACCCCACAACTCAGAGACCCAGCCCCCCAAGGCAAAGGAACACCAAGGCGGGGTCCTTCACAGAAGGAGCAGTAAAAATGACCTCAGAAGCAAAAAGAAAGCAAATAAGTATCAATACGTGGTCCTGTCACAAAGCACAGGGAGTTTTACTATCACGCCGCTTCCAAGTTTCGTCCCAGGTAGAGAAGCAGCCACCAGCGCTGTGGCCCACAACCCTTGGCCTCATCCTCGGGGGAATAGGAGAGGCAAAGGCTGGGGGGCTGTCTGGGGAGGGCCGTCTCTGCAGGGGCTTATCTGGCTCCCGGGGGAATTTCTGGAAATGCTTCCGTGTGGGATGGGAAACCTCTTTGGAGGGGTCTCCTCCCTGGCCAGGGGGTACTCTGGGCATGTTGGGCGGGGCTCCAGGGTAAGGTGGGGCCTCGCTGATCTCTGGGCATCCTTCCCTCTTGCAGGACCTAGGCATGGAGTCGACCTCGCTGGACGACGTCCTGTACCGCTACGCCAGCTTCAGGAACCTGGTGGACCCCATCACACACGACCTCATCATCAGCCTGGCACGCTACATCCACTGTCCCAAGCCGGTAGGGTGGCCGTGGTCTGAGCCAGCGAGCTCCGGGGTGTAAGGGGGGAGCTTCCTGGGGGGAGCAGCCCGGTGCCCGAGGGGGGCTGGTCAGTGCTGCCTGGGCCCCTCGTGCAGCACCTGAGGTGCCCACCCTGCCCTGAGGCCCAGCATCCACGGCGGAGGCTGCGTACCAGCACCATCAGCGCTGGCCTCGTTTGGCCCACGGGCTGCAGTAAATCTTGATTCATTGCCAACATGTAAACCTCAGAGTATTTCACACAATCCCCTTGAAAAATGGGAAGCTCCTCATTTCTACAGGCCTGGAGCTGAGTAGCCACCCCTGTTACATGGGGCCAGAGCCGCCAGGTACGGTTGTGTAGGCTGCCCCCTGCACAAAGATGTGTACACAGAGGTGGCAGGGGTCGGGGAGACAGGAGACGGCTTGGTCCAGCCCTCTCTCTGCCCAGCAGCCGGGGGCACGGGTGCAAGACTGTGCCCACCTAGAGATGGGCTTTGTCTTTGCACAAAGGCGCCGTGTGGCCCTACATGCCACTCTGTTTGCTGCAGTCCCCTCTACGCCCACTTGTCCTCCTCTCTGAGGCCAAGCGTCATTTTACGCCCACCCACTTCACTCCTGTCCACTTCCTGCCTGGCTCTGAGGCTCCGCGGGCGCTGCCCAGCCCCTCTGGGTCTGGGGGATCTGCCCCTCTTCCCGCTGGCTCCACAGTCCAGGCTGGGACCCAGGCAGGGACAGGAGGGCCAGGGCAGGGCAGCTCCACACTTGGGCTTTTCTCTCTGTTTTGGTTTCTTCTCTCCCATCCCTCAGTTTCCAGCAGCTTCCAAGAGATGCACTTCCTTGCAGCAGGAAGGAAGGGGCAGGAAGCCAGAGCAGGATGGAGGAGTGCCTGGGGCGGCCTCCACTTCACAGCAGGACCTAGGATCAGGGCGAGAGGCGGTTCCCAAGCCCACCCCACACCTGGCCCGGGCGCCCAGGGGCTGGAACCTTGCTCTGGGATGGCACCTCCATCTGGGGCTTTTGTTTAGGGCCTTCTCTCTGGCTTCTCCCTGGACTGCCTGGTGTCAAGACTTCAAGGTGGGGGGCTGGCCATGGAGGGCTGGGAGCCCGTCGGGGCAGGTGTGGGGTGGGTTGGTGGAGGGATACAGCAAGAGGGGTGCTGGGCTCAGACGTGTGACAGTAATGAGTGTCGGCGGACTGGGAGCCCCAAGGCCTGGGGTCGAGGAGCTGGTGCAGGAGCCACAGGGGACCGGCTGCAGCTGGAACCGCCCGCTTCTCATTCAGGGTATACCTGGCTCTCCTGGGGAGCTGAGACCAGGCCGTAGGAGGCCTTGTGGGTGCCAGACCCCTGCCCTTTCCAGAGCATGGATTTAGTTGCCCACAGGTGAGAGGAGTGACAGATGACAGGGCACTCAGAGCAGCTCAATAGGAGAGGACTGTTTTTTATGCCCATCTTAGAGTTGAGGAAGACGAGATACAGGTGATGAAGCGATCTGAGAAAGGTTACGGCCCAGGTGAGAACCCCAGCGTTTGGGCCCCACTGCTGGGCAGGGCAGGCCAGCGCTCAGGTGCTGGATCTCTGGGCCATCAGTGCTCCATGGGGCTCGCAAGACCTGGGCTGGGCTGGGGAGGAGGGGCCTGTTTGGGGGCAGTTCCAGTGCCCCCCTCCCTCCACGCAGGCGGGTCTGCAGGTGGCCAACTGCCCATGTCGACCCCAGGAAACAGGACAGGGCTAAGGGGCTGCGGGCTGAGGCCAAGGGGTCCTGCACTGCCATCTGTCCTCTCCACTGGGGAGGGCTACAGGGCCATTCATAGGTGGTTTTGCTCAGCCTCCTACATCAAATTACCATTGACTGGGTGGCTAATAAACAACAGACACTTATCTCTCACAGTTCTGGAGCCTGGAGGGCTGAGATCAGGGTGCCGGCCCGGACAGGTTCTGGTGAGGATGCTCTTTGTGGTTTGCAGATGGCCACCTACTCCTTGTGGCCTCACGTGGCAGAAATGAGGTGAGCTAGCTCTCTGGTCTCTTCCGATAACCCTTGTGGCCTCATCCAATCCTAATCACCTCCCAAAGGCCCTCCCTCCAGACACCATCACGTTGGGATTGGGGTTCAACATATGAACTGGGGGCGGAGGGGGGACAAACATCCCGTCCATCGCACAGGTGTAACCTTCTCAGGTCACTTAATTAGCTGAACTTTGTTTTCCTCAACTCGAATGTGGACATAGCCATACCCTCCCCTATAAAGCTGTTTTGAGAGCTCAGTGAGATGATTTATAGGAAGCATGGTGTGTGCCTTGCACGGCTGAGAGCCTCATGCCCAGAAGCTGAGGTGTAACCAGTCTGTGGGCACTGACCACGTGCCAGGCAGGGTGCTCAGACTTAGCAGGTCAGTTGTGGGACACAGAAGCAAGAAAGTCATGGCCTCAGGCCCAGCCGCTCTGGACTAAGGGTCTTGGAAGTCAACAGGCTGATCGCCAACCCAGATTTCCAGAGGCAGCCAGAGTGGGGTCCACCCTGCTGGAGGCCTAGGGCCTGGCCAGTCCCCTACCCGTACCCAAGGCCACCTGGCAGGAGAGGCCCTCTGGAAGGACCCTCCCAGCTGAGGTTGAGGTATGGGTGGGAGATCCTGGCCCTGGGGTCCCCAAGCTGATGATGGGGGCGGCCTCTGCACACACACACACCCACCCCCATGTGAACTGGCTCAGGGCTAGCCAGGCCTTGCTGCTCGGACCTCTTTCATCTGAGAATTTCAGATCTGCCCAAGTGTGTGCCAAGAGGCTGTAGACAAAAGGGGTGGGGCGGGGTCTCCCTTAGCTGTGAGATGGGACAAAGAAAGTAGCCCTTTCTGGTCCAACTCCTGGTGAAGCATCCACAAGACAAATAATCCTTCCCACTGCTAAGAGGACCACCTCGAATGGGTCCTGTCTATTTTCTCAACCTACCAGAAACCCCCTCCTGTACCCCAGCAGGGTGTGGGCCGAGACCCTAGAAAGGGCTGGGTCTGTGCCTGCCCGCAGAACGGGGAAGAGGCAGAACCCCATCCCGCCCCTGACTGGGTATTGGTGAATCCCAAGTCTGTATCTGCAGCCTGGCTTTAGACTCAAAAGCCTCCCCGCTCCCGGACATTTCCGCCTGGGTGTCCCTAAATCACCCAGAACAAATCCCCCTATCAGCGCGGATCATGTAGCGGGAAGTTTTAGGGACTCCTTCCTTCCCATCCAGCACGTCTGTTCCATCATGTCCACCATCAGGCTTCCCACCAGCAGACACTAAAATGAGGGTGTATGCGCAGTGATTTGTCGAGGAGCTCTCCCAGAGCCACCTTGTGTTGTTTTTCTTCTTTTATATTTTATTGTATTTTCTGTTGCTGCATAGCAAGTCACCCCAAAGCATGGTGGCTTAAAACAACAGACATTCACCATTGATCCATCTCTGCGGGTCAGGAACTCAGGAGCAGCACAGGCGGGGGGTTCTAGTTAGGGGCTGAGGACATCGGCCCAGGCTGCGAGTCCTGGTGGCTCGATGGGGACTGGCAGGGTAGCATACCCCATGGCTGCTGGTGGGAAGCCTCAGCTCCGAGCCCCGTGGCCGGTCCACAGGACTGCTTGAGCTTCCTCACATCAGGGCAGCTGGCTCAACCCCAGAGGGGGTGATCCCCGAGCGCCAGGGAGAAGCACCGTGTCTTCTGTGAGCCAGCCTCAGACGCCACATACTGTCCCTGCTGCCCTAACGCTGCCCTAACGCAGGGTGGAAGGAGGCTGTACCCTGCCAGGAGGCCAGCATCCGTGGGGGCCGACTTGGAGGCTGGCTAAAGCACGGCGAGAGTGAGAAGAGTTAATCCTGGGCCTTTCTCTGCTGCCCTCTGACCTCCCTCCCATTAGCTGAGTCGCACTGACAGCCAGGAGCAGGTGGGCCGGGTGGTGCCGTCTGTAAGAGCTCAGCCTTCCCAGCACAGAGAGCGGGGTGGGGAGTGAACAAAAAACCCAGCACAGTCTCCGGATCTGGAGCAGCGTCCAGGGTGCAGTAGACAGGGCAGTCGTGTCTGATGACTGAGTGAGGAAGCCTTGGGTGCAGAGCGGTCGGGGCTGTGCTTGCTGCAGTTCTTGGGGTGGGGAGTTGAAGACGGCAGGGGGCGTCGGAGGGACACGGTGACCCGGCCCGGAGGGGCCTGCAGGTCTGCCATGGGCCTCTCTCCTGACGGGTCAGTGAGTCCCTCAGGCAGGGTCTTCTCCGAGGCCCGCGGTCAGCGGCGCTGGGCCGGTGCCCAGTGTACGCGACTTGCGCCACAGCCCCTCCCCCTCCTTCCTTCTCCACGGTGGGAGGGAAAGCTGCAGATTCCGCAGCCTGCCTTGCAGCCTCCTCTGTTGCAAGCAACAGAAGCCCCCGCGGCCTGCCTCGAGCCAGGAAGAGGACTTATCCTTCCCGGTGGCAGCCAAGCTTGAAAGAGGCACTAGAACCCCAAACAGCACAGACACCTGCCCCCCTCCCTCTGCTCTACCCGGCCTCACTCCCCGCCCCCCGTACCCACACCTTATGGCTGCCCGGGGCTCCTGAGTTGACTTGTCAGTGTTCAGCCCCCGAGGAGTCTTGTCCCAAGTCGGGAATCCCCCAGGGTCCGCCTCTGGACCGGTCAGCTGTGGCTTGGGAGTGGGGTGTGGTCCCACAAAAGCGCTGCTGGGCCCCGCGGCTTTCCCAATAAAGGGAGAGGGGCCAGCATCCTCCTTCCTCCCCTTCCTTCCTGGTCCTCCACGCTGGGCGCCTCCTGCTTAGTCCTCTTCCTGCAGGAGGAGGCCTGGAGGGGGCTTCCGAAAGCGATGGAGTTGGGAAAACATAGGTGGGCTTGCTTGAGGCTTTTCTGGTTTGCAAACGATAGAACCAACCTTCGCAAAAGCTTCATCCCTCAAGGGCAGAGCAGAGCCCAGCCCCAGAGCGGCTGCGGGGTTTGGATCCTGAAGCCATCCTACACGTCGAGTGGCCTGCCACCCCCTCCACTTCTTGGTGCCTCGGTTCCCGCATTTGTCAAGCGGGATTATAGGGGCCCCCGTTTCATGGGATGGCTATGAGTTAGTGCCCAGCATATATAGTAGGTAATATAACTCGGTAAAGGTTAGCTGTGTTTCTTTAGTCCAGGCAAGCGGAGGGGCTCTCACTTCGGAGGACATTGGCTCACGTTTGGTCTCAGGTCCGCTGTTAAGTGACCACATCTTCCGTCCCTGTTTAGTAAATGAGGAAACAGGCTCAGGTTGGGGGCCTCGCCCTGCGCGCGGCTGCCCCCTGGTGGCAGTGTTGGCGCACTGCGGCGGCTGCTTTGCCGCCTCTTTTCCCGGTTCTTCCTTCCGGGCCTGGAGGGCGGAGGGAGAGTCTGTGGCCCCCGATTTTGGAAGCCCTGCGGGAGGTTAGGTTTAGGACCAGGAGCTCATTCCTCGGCTTTGGAACGGGTGCTGTGGGAGACTGGCCACGTTCTGTCCCGGGTGGTCGCAGGGGTGATGCCGGGCAGACCACCACACCCCACCCGCTGGTCCTTCTTGTCTTTCAAGTGTGTCCACCTGGCAGCACAGGAGAATAACCGGGGGAGCTTTTAAAAGTCCCCATGTCCGAGCTGCCCACCCATCGCTGCGAGGTGGCCCAGGCAGCAGTGTTGTCTGAAGCTCTGGGCGATTCCAGCATGCAGGGGTCCTGGGTGCAGACCCTCAGCTCGAGATGTGCCGGCCCCTCCCCCTTCTCCCTTTGGCCTCCAAAGTTGGCCTTCACCCCGGCCAGCACCGTGACCCTTGGGATACGTTCCAGGACTTTCATGGGATGCCTGAAACTGCAGATAGCACCAAACCCTAAAAACACTGTTTTTCCTATACTAAAGGGCAGGTAACATACACAGCGAGAATGCACTGTACAAAGGGACGATTTATGTCCCAGGTGGGAAGGAGTGGGACAGCACACAACTTCATGACGCTACTCAGAATGGCGCACAATTGTAAACTTCTGAGTTTATTTCTGGAAGTTTCCACTTAATATTTTCGGACCGAGGTTGACCACAGGTAACCTGAAACCTTGGAGGGCCAAACAGCAGATGGTGGGCGGGGGGACAGCACTAACAGAGTGATGATGATAATGGTAATAATCAAGCCAGCCTTCACTGAGCGGCCACTCTGTGCCAGGCACCCTGCTGGGCACTGGCCCCTGGCTCATGGTTGACCTCACCACATCGCGTTGCTGTCTGTAAGTGGATTTGCAGTCGTGCCTGGTACTTCCTGGCCTTGGCCCTTGGCGCTGGACCACCTGGTGGGAGCACACGCTCTGGGCCACTCAGTCTCCCAGGCCTCGGGGACTCTTCGTCGAATCGACTCCCCTTGGGACAGAGTTGGAGCCTCTGAAATCTCTCTGCTGCATCCTTTAACCCAGCATATTTGTTTGCTGGGGCTGCTGTGACAAAAATACCACTTAAACAACAGAAATGTATTTTCTCACAGTTCTGGAGGCTGGAAGTCCGAGATCAAGGCGTCAGCAGGGTTGGTTTCTTCCGAGGCGTCTCTCCTTGGCGTGTAGACGGCCGTCTTCTCCCTGTGTGCTCATATGGTCTCCCCTCTGTACATGTCTGTGTCCTGATCTCGTCTCATGAGGACACCAGTCGTATAGGATTAGGGCCCACCGCAGTGATCTCATTTTACCTTAATTACTCTTTAGAGGCCCAATTTCCAAATACAGCCACATTCTGAGGTATTGGGGATTAGGACTTCAATTTAAGAACTTGGCAGAGGGACACAATTCAGGCCATAACACCGAGGGTCTCAAGGTCAAATGCTGATGGGCCAGACAGGTAACGAAGATGAATGAACTGGGCCGGGAACCACTTGGCGCCTCATTCTTTTATTTTCCCACCGTTGACGTGGGCAGAAGAGACGTGGTGAAGTATTTCACTGTCCCCTTTGCTGTGTGGAATACGCGAGCAAGGACGTTTGCTTGTGGTTGAATCCCCAGCTTCTAGAGCAAGTGCCCGGCACCTAGGAGGTACCCAGCGGGTATTTGTCAGGCGAGCGAGTGAGCAGGATAAGATGGCCCTGGGCATCGGGGAGCGGCAGGGACCGTGGCGACCCTGGCGACCCTGACTAAGGGGTCAACTGTCAGATCACCTGGAATCCAGACGTCTATAGAAATCTCAGGTTTTTCAAATAGCAACGAATTCACAGAAACTAAAACCATCGTGCAGATGAGTTTGCAACCCCTGCTCCCTGATCAGGGCGGCCACCTTGGGCCCGCACAGCAGGCCTCCCCAGCTCGGCCTGGGGTCCATGCTGGTCCCGCAGAGGCAGGAAGCTGGAGGTGGGGGCCTGGGCTCCCTGCCTGCTCCATCGACTCAGGGACCTGTGGCTTCCTCTGCAGGAGGGCGATGCCCTGGGCGCCATGGAGAAGCTGTGCCGGCAGCTGACCTACCACCTCAGCCCCCATTCCCAGTGGAGGCGCCATCGCGGGCTGGTCAAGAGGAAGCCACAGGCCTGGTGAGTCGCGGTCACCCGAGGCGGGTCTCCCCCACCGCCGCCCAGCCGCCTCCTACAAGGACAGCTCAAAGCCAGCTGTGCTGGGCCGGGCGTTGGGGGGACAGCACTCCGTCCCAGGCCCGTGGGGGGAGGGCAAGAGCTGCTTGGAGAAGGTGAAGTGAAGGGCTGGGGGCCGGGGAAAGTGGCAGGCAGGGTGGGCATTCCAGGTGGGCAGGAGCCCTGGGAGATGCTGGCGGCTGGGCCCCGCTCTGTGTGGTGGGATCTGGGGGTGCGCCCCCGTTCTGATGCTGGGGGAGGGGGACAAGAGGAGTTTCTGATCCTGGTGCGCTGAATGCGGGCACTCGCCCCACCCCCTCCCCCCAGCCTTCCTGATGTCTCCCGGGGGACCCAGACCCCAGCCTTTTCCCTGGCGTACAGCAGTGAGGACCCTCAGGGTTCGTGTGGCCCCCTGCACCCTGGGGGCAGAGGGGACACTGGGACACAGGACCTGGGGGCCAGAACAGCACCGCAGAAAGAAGCAGAGGGGAACTGCTTGCAAATCACGGAGCAGAGTGGCCGGTGTCCCGAAGGCTCTGGCAGGGCCCTGCTGGCGCGCAGGCTCCTCCGGGTCCCACAGACGGGAGGGGAAGGCCAGCCCCCTCGCTGAGCAGAAGAGCTCTGGGCCCCCTTCCCTTCTTCTGGACACCACCCCCCGCCCCCCAAGGCAGGAGAGGAGATGGATCCTCAAGGGCCCTTCCCTGGTGGAGGAAGTCACCAGAGGGGGCGCCAGGTGGGCTGAGGGCAGGGACCAAATGCGGGGACAGGGCAGTTCTGTCTGCTTGTGCGCTAGTTCTGGAGGAGGGAATGCAGGAGGGTACACGCTCTGCTGGGACCCAGGGGCCTCCTGTCTCCCCGGCACACAGGGTGCTCAGTCCATTCTTTGTTCAGAAGCCTTACTCTGCTCGGACGCCTCCCCGTCGCGCTGACTGAAACCCACTCAGGCCCAAGTGATGGTCCCCCGCCCACCCCCGCCCACACACTGGCCTTCCTGCTGGTTCACAGACACGCTGAGCTCTACCAGCCTCAGGGCCTTTGCACTTGTGTTCCCTCCGCCGGGACTCTTACCGAGCTCTTCCCTTGGCCTGTTTTTTCTCCTAAGAGGCCGACAAGGAAGCCCAAGCTGTGATCCCAGGGCTGCTGATGGTAACAGGTGCTGAGCCCCCTCCAACTCCCTGTCCTTCCCAGGGTTGGAGCCTCGGGGCTCGCCTGGGGTATCTGGAAGCTGGGAGATCTGGGCCCCCAAGCAAGGGAGCGGGTGAGAAAGAAGAGCAAGGGGTGGTGGGCGGTAGGGAATGGAAGGGGGTGGACAGCAGCCCACACCAGGCTCGGGGCCCCTGCGCCCTCCCCCACCTGCCATCCCGAGGGCCCCCCCAAGGACCCTCTGTCTGGCAGGGAAGATGGTCTTAAAGGAGGGGCTTCCGAGATCTGTGGCACTCGTGGGGGAGCAGGGAGCTCGGCCGTTCGCCGCCCTCCTGCACAGGGCGCCGTTCTGACTGCGTTTATTATTTCACATGACAACCCTGTGGTACCCAGTTGGCTTCATTTCTCAGGCAAATAACAGAGGCGCAGAGGTTAAGGAACTAACTAAAGGTCGCATGAGGGACGAAGCCCGCCTGCCGCAACTAAAGATCCTGCGTGCCGCAACTAAGACCCGGTGCAGCCAAAATAAAAAATTAAAAAAATAAAAAAAGTAGGAAGGAAGGAGTCCAGTGCAGACCCCGGCGTTGGCCCCAGAATGTCCCCTTAGTCACTGCAGAAACACTTGGGCCTTGCCCTGTGATCCCCAGGCTCTGCCCGCTGGGCAGCCAGGCTGAGATGTGGGCAGTGCAAGGGGACCGGGGCCCCTGGTCTCTGCCCTGTGGGCAGAGGGCTGAGTGGAGGCTGCCTCCGGAGAAAAGCCTGTCCCACCCGCTTGAACCCTGCTGTCTCATCTCCCCTTCAGCCTCAAGGCAGTCTTGGCCGGGAGCCCTCCGGACAACACAGTGGACCTGTCTGGCATCCCGCTGACCCCCCGTGACCTGGAGCGGGTGACCGGCTACCTGCAGCGCTGCGGGGAGCAGGTGGATAGTGTGGAGCTGGGCTTCACGGGCCTCACGGACGACATGGTCCTGCAGCTGCTGCCGGCACTCAGCACGCTGCCCCGGCTGACCACGCTGGCCCTCAACGGCAACCGGCTGACACGGGCCCTGCTGCGCGACCTCACTGACGCCCTGAAGGACCCCAGTAAGTTCCCCAGCGTCACGTGGATCGACCTGGGCAACAACGTGGACATCTTTTCACTGCCCCAGCCCTTCCTGCTCAGCCTGCGCAAGCGCTCCCCCAAGCAGGGCCACCTGCCCACCATCCTGGAGCTGGGCGAGGGCCCGGGCAGTGGGGACGAGGCCCGGGACGAGACTGTGGGCCAGGAGGACCCTGGAGGGGACCAGGAGGGCAGGGAGACTACAGGTGCATCTCAGACGTGACAGGGAGGGGGGGGCCTCTCCAGGGAGTCCTGCTGGGGTAGGATGGCCGAGGCAGGGCAGGCGTTCCCAGCGGGGTCGCGGGCCACCATCCAGAATGGGCCTGGCAGCACCTCCCCCTGACCCAGGAAGCCAGATGGTAGCATCTAGGAAAGGACTGTAATTCCTCTCTGGTCCTCTCCATCACCCCTTTGTCAATCCACATCTGCCTTTTGGCTCCTGAGCAGTCATCCCTGGCTCAAGAGGAACCAACCCTCAGCTTCCCAACTTGTGGGTGCCGTGTAGGGGCTGGAGATGCTGGAGACTTGAGTTAATGTGAACGAAGTGTAGTGGGGGCTCTACATCTAACCCGGGATTTTCCAGTCCTGAATTACAAATATCCAGTTGCTGGATGTGCCCCTGATTAAGGCAGGTCGGGATCTCTAGCTCCTGGCTGAAGGTTGGGGTAGGGGACTGGCTGCTGGAGACCCCAGGAGCCTCATCCCCATCTGGACTGAGGAGTGTCTGCCTCCTCCTTGTGGCGCCCAGGCTCCTTGGGACCAACTTCCCGGTCTCAGCCTCCATTTACAAGGCTCACCCTTCAGCCTGTGACCCCAGAGGCCTAGCCACGGGACCAGCCACCCCCCTATACCCTTCAATATTTAGGACATCCTAGAAGTCTGGGGCAGACAGTGCATGCCACTCAGAAACCGCACAGCATCTCCGCAGACTAGTGGAACTCCACATACGTCAGTGTTCCTAGGGTACAGGCTAGAGTGAACCTTGGGAAAAGGGTCATAAGGACCCTTTTCCCATAAAATCCCTCCCCATGGAGTCCCTGAAGTAATCCTTGCTACTTTGAGCACATTCCTGAAAACCCAGGACCACAAAGATGAGGTGCCTCCAAGCAAGACAACTGGGAGAAGGCGAAAAAAAATAAACCGGAGTTTCCCAAGGGGAGAAAGCCAAGGTTTTCACCCTACCTTCCCCTTACCCAAGGCCTTCGGGTTAAAGTCGTCCCTTTCAGGCACAATTAGCAAGTCAGGGAGATTGGGAACCAATCATTCTTGAGCTAGAGAAAATCATTCTGGGTGTTGGTGAACCAGACAGAGCCCCTCAGGCAAACAGCAGAGGGCTAGGGAAGCACAGCCTGACATGCCTCCAGCCTCAAGCCAGGTAGCGTAGCCAAGACCTCGGAAGGTGGCAAGATGGGGGTGGGTGAAGAGCCAGACAGTGGGACCTTGCCTGCTGCTGTCTGGGCAGGTGTGGGGTAGGGCTTCAGGAGCTAGAGGGAGGCTATGCAAAAGGGCAGACAGAGCCCAGAGGGGCAGGGACTGGACTCACGTGTTACAGCTGCCTTAAAATGCTTTGGGATTTTTGCCCCAAGTCTCAAGAGGGGAGAACAGCTTAGACCTACCTAAAGGGAAGGTGACAAGTACTAATACCTGGACCGCTAATATTTGTCAGCAGTGATCAAACTGGACTTTTTCTTCATATACACGTTTTTAAGAACCAATACCAAAGACCATATTTTTATTACACTGTTGATGGTTAACTGCATGGAGATACAAATTTCAGCAAGTTTCCAGTTCAAAAACCTCAGGCTCTCACCCAAGAACACACTTATACAATATTTAAAAGTACAAAAGCTCCTTTTGGTTAAGGGACGATACAAGAAAACTCATGAATTTAGTGACATCAGAAGTGCCAGTCCACGGTCCCATTTCTTGGCTCTCATTGGTTAAGAATGTCCCTCTGATACTGAGCACAAGGTGAGTGTTTCTACACCAAATGTGGGAGGCCTAGGTTTTCAGGGCCCAAGTTGACGGCTGCCCCTGCCACAGCACAGCCTGCAAGGAAACGAATTATCAGTTAATCTTACTTTATATTCCAAGAACAGTCATTCACAGCCTAAAAGATATCTTCAGAAAACCGTAGGTTCACCACCACACAATCTGCCGGTAATTCCAGCTTTTTTAGGTGATTTCATCATTTGATATCCTTTTCTGCAAATCCATTTCAACAAAACTAGCTGCTTATCCATTCTACCGTGGAGGTGCTCATTGTGTAGACCAGACCTTACCTCTTCTTGGGCTGGGGTACTGCTGCCACTGCCGCCCGCTTTAGAGCTCCGCTGCGCCGATCCCACTCTTCAGTGCTCAAAACCTGGCGGGATGAATGAGGCACCCATGGACAGACAGTAGATGCCAAAAGCAACTGGAGGCAGTTCCCATTGTCTTAACCTCCGTTCAGTCACGTTATTGCAAACAGACCTAAGGCTGTCCATTTTCAGAGCATCTCAGAGCAGATAAGCAGTTTGCTCAGGACTATACAGCCATGACATCAAAAGGAACTCCTGGGCTCACTCTGCAGTCTGGTGCAGACATCACGAACCAAAATCATTCAGATATTTTCTCAATAATGCTCAAGGGCTGCACCGACACAAAGTACTCGGTCAGCCGGACAACACTGCCAATATCTGGTCCAGTAGCAACTTCACATGAATCAACAGCTAGGCGTCCTCAACCACGAACTTCTCCAGAGCCCAAAGCTAGCTTACCTCGGAGCAGGCCAATGCTTGGGCTCCCATACGGTGATCACGCGCTGGCCAACCTTCACTAACTTGCAACCTGGATGAAGACAGATTATGGGTCACAGTCCAGACCAGCTTACTCCTGAGCACCAGCTACTGGTGAGGATGCGAGACTGCAGTCAGCCAGGAACTGGTATCGTCAGTTATCGCTTCTGACGGCACTTCCTATTAGTGATTTCATCAGAGCAGCCAAGCACCTCACCACAGTACCGCCCCAGAGACCTGGGCTTCGGCTAAAACCGCCTTAAGGCATCCGTTTCTGAATACAGATGCGGTTTAGACATAACTAGGGGCCGCAACCTCCTAACCGTTGCAGTTATGCAACGAGGCAGCGCATAATTACGTCAAATGCATGAAAGCAACAACAGGGATAAGACACCAGGCAGTTATCAGTGCATTTAAGGTTGCAAGACCGACACGGCTAAGTTACAATACGTATTAATCCTTACCCAGACTGGTTCTTAACCTCGGGTAGGGATGCTGCTCCCCTCTCCAAAAGCGGGTGTGTCTGCCCTCTGAAACAAAGATTAGGGCGTGCATTTAGGGCAGACTCGGGCAGCTACAGTAACCTAAAGCATCAGGTGTCAGCGACTGCGGTCGGATGGGCGTAGAAATCGTCAGTCCTCGCGTCTGACGGCACTTGCTACGGAATCATCAGGATAGCCGAGCAAGCCTCCCTTGCGGCCCCACTACGAACGTCGTTCCGCGCCCTAGGGTGCAGGCAGCCCCGCTTACCTAGTTCTCTCGGGGGGTGCTCACTCCCAGCGGCGAGCCCGGGGTCAGGGGTCCCGAGACGGCGGCTGCCCGGCCAGACGAAGACGCACGCGGTCCTCGGGCCTCGGCCCCCAAACTCGGACACAAGGCCACGGCGCCCGCCCTGATGCCCGCGTGGATGCAGCCGCCCGCCGCCCTCCAGTTAGGCTCCCCGAGGATATCGTTCGAAAAATTAGAAGAGCTCTGGGGCTTCCCTGGTGGCGCAGTGGTTGAGAGTCCGCCTGCCGATGCAGGGGATACGGGTTCGTGCCCCGGTCCGGGAGGATCCCACATGCCGCGGAGCGGCTGGGCCCGTGAGCCATGGCCGCTGAGCTTATGCTCCGCAACGGGAGAGGCCACAGTGGTGAGAGGCCCGCGTACCGCAAAAAAAAAAAGAAAAGAAAAGAAAAGAAAAGCTCTGGTTCCCTCGCCCTTGCTGCCCGCAGATCGGCCTAGACAAACTCACCACCAGCCACCCGACACCTACAGTGGAAAGGCCCCACAACCCCCGTCCCAGCCTCTTAAGCAGTCGGAACATTCCACCCCTCACAGAAGGGAGGGGGATTATGGCAAAAGACTCACGGAACTTCCCGCCCGTTTAATGGTGCAGGCGCCGCCCCTGGACTCCCCCCTCCTGCAGAGCCCATGGTCTCTTCCGAGGCCGTGGAATTCTGGGGCACAGGGGCACAGCGAGCCCCAGCGCGCGTGCGCAGGTCCAGTGCGCCGCCGCCGTTAAGAGACTTTCCCGCCGCCCCGCCGCCTCTCTGCTGGGTGGTCCAGAGCGAAGAGTCAGCCGTCATGAGCTTCCGGTTGCTCCTCTGGAAGGTGGGGCGACCGAGGCCACGGACGGCGGTTCTACGCATCACGTGCGATCACGCCCTTGAAACCCTGCAGAGCCTGGGCGCGCAGCAAGTGTGCACACACCGTAGCTGCTTCTGGCCCCGGGGGCGGTGCCGTCTGCTCTCCCTGCAAGAGCCTCTCCAGCCCCCTGCGCTGCGACCCCCCCTCGTCAGTCTCCTTCCTCCGTCCCCTCTCCCTCGGGACTCCTCCAGCTGTGCCCCGTCTCACCAGCGGCGAAACCTCCCTCCGTCCCAGCGTGGGAACAGGCTCGGCTCTTGCCACTTAAAAAACATTCAACCCGTGCACGCGCGTCTTACGAACACACATTACCCTAAGGGTGAAAACTGGAAAAGCGGTAGTGAGACATAGGTTTTTGAGCTGGTTTTAGAAATAAGAGTAGCATTTTAATGGAGGGAGGGGAGGCTTCTAGGGAGAGCCAAGCCTAGGAGTCAGACACACACGAGGTCCACCATCCTGCGCGAAGGATATACTGCAGGTGCCAAGGAGAGCAGGAGGCGTCTGTAAAACTGCGGAGGGCTGGGGGTGCCAGCTAGGGCCCCCGTGCGCGCCGGGAGCCTCTCA